TCAATGTTGTCCTGAGAGGGGACTGTCTGGTCGCTCAGGGCGCCTCTGTCCATCTGGACATCAGTCTGACCCGCGGGAACCGCCATTACCGCTGGAGACGGGCTCCGCTTTGTGCTGTTTAACGCCTCTAGAGAAAACGAACCGGTTTGCTTTGAGCTTTATCTGCAAGAACAGAAACACACTACCGCTTTTCCGCCCACCAACTGCGAACGTCTTGACGTCATTGGGATAGACGTCAAGATAGCAGTTGGTCCGCCCCCATGATAATAGTAAGGACTCACTCTTCCACTTTTTTACCAAATGAATATTGTCATAGATATTTCTAATCCCTGGCACTAATTTAGAATCAACATGTATCTCTTAGGAAGCTAGTACATTAAAACTTGTCGAGTCTCTATGTCAAGCATTTGGAATAACATTTTACTTTCGAGAGGGCTGCGCAGTGACGCAGGTGCAATAAGAACCCAAGGCTTGACTCCAAAGTTCATTACAGACCCATTCAAATCAGATCATTATTGAAAAGTCAGTTTATTTCAGGAATTTTATCACAAGTGAAATACAGCGTGCAGATTAGACATATACTAGTGTTTTCCAGCCTTTACTTATGTTAATTATAATGATTTCTGCTTACATAATGAAAATATGGCATTAAAAATAGAATATGAGACCGATATAAAAACATTTTATTATGTCGAAATGTAAGTTTAATGAAAATTATGTTTAGTACCACCTTAAGGATTGTCATTTTCAAAAAGTACTAATAAAGCACATTCTAATTTATTAAATATGATTGTATTAAGTAGCAAGAGAGTCCAATGCAGAGAGGATTAAAGCTATGTTTCTTCTTCCAGGATTTGTGTTTTCATATATTCTTGTTTGATATATCAGAGGGTTTGACTTTACTTACGTTATTTTAATGGAAATAAGATCTTGATAGATTCTTACCACTGTGGACAATGATTATATATATCTATATGATCATTATATATCTAGAATTATATATGCCCAGAATTATTACATAAAATTATGTATACCCAGAATTATTCTCCTTGTGAGTCAACACTGCGGAACTACAGAATAAACATCAGTTTTTAAGCGTGATTGACTTGCTTGATAGAAACAATAACCTGTTATAATATCTGTAAAGTTCAGCTATGTATCATTTAAGATAGACACAGAAGGAAAACAAAAAGATGTTTTTTGTTTAAAGCTCTACTGCATTAAACCCACTTAAGGCAAAAAATGCATTACAACATCATTCAATGAACTTCTCAAACTGCAGTTATTGTTTATGGACAGCTTTTGAAACCATAGCCAAAACAGAGAATTTTCCAAATAGCCAATCTATTTGTTCACTACATGTCCTCAAATTCACTCAGTAAAGGCAACATTTTTGCTTTTGTTGTCCTTGTGTTATGTGTTCTGTTCATTAACATAAAAGGTAACATGTTCTCATTTGGACAAAGATTAATCAGTATATAAATGTACACAATGTGGTGATAGAGTATTACTCCACCTTAGTGTCTTACCTAATAATCAAGATTTTGTGGAATAGAATACATGAAAAATAAGAACTTAACTAATATAAATGGGAGTGGAACAGCAGAAGGATAATAACTACACCCAACACGAGAAGAAACTTCACTTTGCCCAAACCAAAACATATTTTTCTGTCTCGGACTGATCATCGTCTTATACCAACATCTTCAGTATCCAGTTTCCTGATCATGGTTCTGCAGAAGAGCTGTTTCTAAAATAAATAAATAAATAAAAACGCGGCATAAAATCAATTTTCAATTTTATAATGCCAGATGCTCTTTGTGCACGTTTTCCCCTCTTTTGCCCGCGTTACATTGCTTAATTCTTTGAAACTTTTGCTCTGCTGCAGCTGCACGGTTCGTGTAATTTAAAGCACTTCCATAGAGTAACAGTTTCCGAGATTTATGTCAGCATTCGTCTCGGATCTGTGATGTTTTCGAACTTCAGCGTTATATGAAGCTGTGTGTGTTTAGTTACCCAACAGATGTTCTCTTATTGAATATCAAGAATATCAAGGCTCCATTCAACAGGCTGAATGGAGCCTGTTGAAGTGGAGCCATCTAATCCCCGCAGCGGTGGGTCACCTGATGGCATCTCTTGTTCAGAGTACAGAATTTATACTGAGAGCGAGACTTGATCCAAAAACATCCAAAAAAAGTTCTATTTTTAAACGCTATTTATGTTTATTCGAAACCTACTCGACAATACAATGGATTTATCGCTGAGGATTTTCAGAAACTGAAACTCTCATAACACTGAAATTTTATTGTATTTTGTCGGCCTCTACGTGTGCAGACAGGAATCTTTGTTGGTCCATTAAATTATGTTACAGGAGTGTTATGGCTTCCTACCACCGTGACAGAAAAGCCACCCATTTGTCCTCAAGCCTGGCTCTATAAAGATCAAATCACCTTGTTTACATGACCAATGTGCGCAAATCTTTTTCTATGTTATGCTAATGTCAAAAAATAAAATTTCACAATTGTTTTCACTAAATAAGAAAATAAAAATCAGGTATGAAGCTTATTCACGCAATAAGCCATTAGAAATTACGGAGGCGACCAGGGTCGTGCAGAGACCTTTGGAAGGGCAGGGGCTCAAAGTTAAAAAAGGGCACACAGCGGGAGCAGACACGTCCAAAAATATCAGAGCAACATTGCAATTAGGTGACATTCTAGACTAAAAACATTATACCAAATCACATTGTGTGTCATTTAAAGTGTAATATAGCAACATTGTCGCTCTTCACCACCATTGAACCTCTGCCTGAACACCTGGTTGGGACCTGCAATGAATTATGGGATATGGTGGGCTGTTAAGTATACGTCGGACCCATCCTTCAAATTTGGGGAAAAGAAGGACGCATTTGGACAGGCCTTGTCGCCACACTATGACGTAATCGGCCTACAAATCCGTCCTTCAAAGAATGCAGAGCCTGAATTCGGACACAGCTAATAACAGTGTGGTTGTCGGAGGACTGCTTTACTTCTGCCTGGGGGTAGAGCCGGTGTCATATTAATTCTGTGTGTTTCAGTTCAGTTAGAAAATAAAAAACACCAACTCTGACAGATCATCAGTAGAGCACTCGCTAATTTACCACAACAATCAGTAATTAATAATTGGAAAATAAGTCCAATTATTTTGGACTGATCCTCTTTAGCCTATTTAATATTTTGTTTCATCTGGTAATGTGTTACTTTTTTCCCTTATTTTCATTATTATGAATTGTTGTGACGTTTAGATTGAGTAATGCAACTAGATATAAGTTTTCAATAAAGATATTTCTTTTACACTGATTTTTTAATTTTTTTGTTTTTTCTTTTGACCTCTTTTATTTATTGTTTATTTTTTTTCCTCCTTAATTAGCTTTTGCTTTACTTTTTCATTGTTTCTTGGGTTTTTTATGTCTTCAATCATTCAATCACACTTTTCCTGGACAAACATACAGAGGACCGCCTCCCTGGCAAAGAGGGGTTGCAGGATAACTTTTTCTACCTAACAGTGATATTGTTATGGGGTTGACCAGGTGACTGTCGGAGGGTTTTTGTATCTTGTGTATGTCTTCCTTTTGTTACGTATTCCAGGATAGTGTTGTTATGTCTTTTGACTGAGGAGGGAAATGTGGTTTAATGTTAAATATCTTATGAGCTCTCTGAGCTCATGAATAAACCTGATTGAGTGATTTTTACCTGAACAGTGCTTGGAAATAGTTTTTTTTCCACGACAAACATATATGCAACATAGATATGTGCAACGTCTACTTTTGCAGCAAACATATGCAAAAGAGACATATGGAATATCTATATGCAGCAAACACATGTGCAACATGAATATGTATCACCTACGTATGCAACATCTACATGCAACATTGACATATCCATATCCATTAAGATCATAAACATCCATCAAAGACACATAGTCATTTACACATATGACTTCTACTTATTTTTGATACAAATGGAACCCCATATTTCTTTTTTTATTGCTTTTTATTGGGTGCTTATGTTAGTTGTGATTTCTTGTCGTTTTAAGTTTGTCACATTTTAAGAGGTTTTCATTAGTTTGGGTGTGGCCGTCAGGTGTGATTAGCTGACTGGCTTGGATTTTCTCCATGCTGACTCAGAAGCATGGCATCAAGGGTGCTGGCTCTCTGTGCAACGTGGAGAGCCAGGTTGTTGGGGAGCTGATTAGACATGGCTCTGTCAAGTCGGCAGGCCAAATGATGTGTCAGATGCTGCAGATCTTCTCTCAGTCTGTTGTTGAGAGCGTCGTCTTCTTTGGCATCATATGTTGGGGCAGCGGCATCAGAGCCCGGGACATAAAAAGACTCAATAACCTGATAAAGAAAGCCGGTTCTGTTCTGTGAAACTTCTGAAAATTATTATGCAAAGAAGGATTCTTTGAATCAAGAAAATTATTAACAACCCTGGTGAGTCTCTTCATAAGACTATCTTGGAAATCAGTGTCTAAAAGCTTTTTGCCATCAGCTACTGTATATCTACAATAACTCTGAAGAAAATTGATTAACAACAAAGTTTAATTTCACCTTTGGGATCTATAAAGCGTTTTTGAATTAGATTTTTTATTAATAGATTCCTGTAGTCAGTGTCCCTGATCTAACAATGTCTTTACAATAATTTAAGGCATTAAAAGCAAGTTTCAATGAGTAACCCATTTTAAAAGAAAATCCCTCATGAACATTTATTCAGTGTCTCTCAATACAAGTTATACATTTAAATTAGAACTGATCTTGTTTTATTTTAAAACTTTTTTTGTACTTGCCATGTTCTGGAATACTGAGTATAGAAATATATATCTGGGAATAGATATTTATTTTTATTCCTAGATAACTCTGTGGTCAAATTTAAAGCTCAAAGGGTTTTTCTAGAAAAATATTCAGATTTTATTTAGTGGTTTTAAGGCTAAAAACATGCTATCTTCTTTTCAATGCTCTCTGTGTGTGTGTGTGTGTGTGTGTGTGTGTGTGTGTGTGTGTGTGTGTGTGTGTGTGTGATGCTTCGTTAGAACCCTCTCCTCCCTCCCTTCGGCTCTAGCTCTCCTTGATTGCAGCAGGAAAATGAAGCAACACAGAAACATTTGCAGTTCATTGGTGATTCGAGCAGCAGGTTCAGGGCGCTGCATGAGAGGCGAACCTCTGAGTTCCGCCGCCATTGGATGTTGGGAAGCTGGGATGCGCTTTCTGAGCAGACTGTCGCCTGGCTGTGTGGACGCCCTCTGAAAATGGTGGATGATAACAATCCCGGCGCAGGCAGGCAGCTTCTGCTCCATGGCGATGAGTGACGGAAGGAAAAATTGGGCTTTTTCTTCTGACACCGGACGCTTCTGAGATGAGGGATAAAAAGAGGAGGAAGAAGAAATTGCCGTTTGATTTTTAGGTTCGGATTACAGCACATCGAGATGGATTCTATTGAGGAGAAAGTTTCTGTTATTATTTTTGATTTCCATTCAAACCCTTTCGGTGGGGGCGAGCAGGAGCGATGATGTGATGCGGGAGATGCGCCACATTCATGGCGAACACAACAGAGTTCGGGGAGAGCAGCAGCGCGTCCTTCCACAGCTATGCATCCACGGCCTCTGCGGTCAAGCTGGCCTCTCTAGGGCTCATCATGGGCGCCAGTCTGCTGGGCAACGCGTCACTGTCGCTGCTGCTGCTGAAGGACAGTTCGCTGCACAAGGCTCCTTACTACTTCTTGCTGGACCTGTGCCTGGCCGACGTGCTGCGCTCGGCCGTCTGCTTCCCCTTTGTGATGGCGTCTATCGGAGCCGGTTCCGACTGGCCATATGGCGCGCTTAGCTGCAAAATTGTCGCCTTCCTGTCGGTACTCTTCTGCTTCCACGTCGCCTTTCTGCTCTTCTGCGTCAGCGTCACCCGCTATATGGCGATCGCTCATCACCGCTTCTACTCCAAACGCATGAACCTGTGCACGTGCGTGGCGGTCATCTGCATGGTGTGGACCCTCTCCGTGGCCATGGCCTTCCCGCCAGTGTTCGATGTGGGCACCTACAAGTTCGTACCCGAGGAGGAGCAGTGCACGTTCGAGCACCGCTACGTCAAGTCCAACGACACGCTGGGCTTCATGCTGATGCTCGTGATCATCGTGGGCACCACACACGTGGTTTACGTGAAGATGCTGTGCTTCGTTTACGACCACCGCAAGATGAAGCCAGCCCAACTGGTGCCGGCCATCAGCCAGAACTGGACCTTCCATGGGCCCGGAGCCACCGGGCAAGCCGCCGCCAATTGGATCGCAGGCTTCGGGCGCGGGCCGACGCCGCCCACGCTGGTGGGCATCCGACAGGCGTCGCACCCTGGCAATAGGAGGCTGCTGGTGCTGGACGAGTTTAAGACGGAAAAGCGCATCGGGAAGATGTACTTCCTGATCACGCTGGCCTTCCTCGTTCTGTGGGCGCCTTACATTAGCGCATGCTACCTGAGGATATTCGTGCGCGGGGCTCCCATCCCGGAGCTCCACCTGACAGCCGCGGTGTGGATGAGTTTCGCCCAGGCGGGGGCCAACCCCATCATCAGCTTCATGTCCAATAAGGAGCTCCGGATTAGACTCAGGGCCTGCTTTTCCTGCTGCCTGGGAACACAGACACCTATGGAGCCATACTGTATCATATGACCCCCGAGGCCTCGCTCCCCAAACATACAGCCAAAGACTGGCATATATGCACTGTAAAAACTGCACATTCAAAATGAACCGGATGTGTGTAAGTTTGCTCAAACAGGGACTTTGTTTGGGTTATTTGACCAGCTTTAATAAAAACAAACTGGTAAGATTAAAATAATAAAAGTTTTCTGTATAAATTTTATTTGGGAATATTTTAAACTAAAGTCTATAAGTTTCATATGTAAAATGCAAATACATTTAATTCTACAAGTTTTGAATATGTTTAAAAGTTCACTCAGATAAATAAGGTTCATGTTGCTAAGCTGTCTTTTTACTCCCAAGTTAAAAAGGAACAGTTTGTAATTATGACATCATGTTATTAATATGGAATAGCTACATAAAGTTGTCTGTTTGACAACTTTATGGGAAAACCACAATTATTTGTTAATGTTTACAAAATTCACTTGAAAGAATCTTATCAGTGTAGAAAAGTCCAATCCAGGTTTTGAGACTTTTGTCAAAATAGTGGATTCTAACTGTAAAAAAAAAGTTTGAAAATGTTTTGTTTTGTTTTTTCACCAATATTAAATTTTTACAAATGTCCAACTGGTCAGGTTCAGGTTTCACCACTCTACATATTTTGGGGCTTTATCTCACCCATATTTTCTTAAGTTTTGTCCAAATCAGTTGAGTTTCTTCGTTTGTAACTTTCTCCTTTTGTTCAGTATCTCCGGGTACTCAACACAGTCAGATTACTGGTCAGTTGTGTCTGTGGCAGAAGTATAAAATATAAATACAGGAAGCATATTCTGTGTGCTGAGCTTATAGAAAATACAGATAAGTTAATCATGTCAGTAGTGTTTTTCTGGGTATTTCAGGGGCAGAGGCCCAAGGCCCCGACTTTGGGGGGCAGCCCAAAGATTTTTTTTATTTTTCTTTTTTTTAAATATATGCTATTCAAACATTCCACTTCATATAAAACTCACAAGCTGTTACCAGGGGAGTTGTACTAATATTTTGGGAGTTTTATGAATATAAACAATATTTAAGTATTTGAAAAGGTGATTTAGTAGATTTCGTTGGAAACAGCATGAAAGGATTGACAGGGGATGTAATACATCTATCATGTATCAATTCAAATCTGCTTATTTGTAGGACTATGTATTAATGTTCTATAATTTGCATTGTGAAACAATTTTTCTGTTGCAAATAGAGCAACAAAACTGGCTCCAGCCCAGGGCCCACATCCCTGTAAATCTAGCCCCGTCTACAAAATAATTTTGAGAAGACATCTTGAAAATTACATAGAGTTCTATGCTTTACGAAAAAAAATGTTTGGCCAATTTTTATTACCTTCACACTTCACACACAGTGTGCAGCTTCAACCTGGCTACTGGAAGCTGTTTGACTCAAATTTGCAGTGTACACCTGGTATCCATGTTGGATTGAGCTTGGATGACATCCAGACCATAAATGAACCGTTCTGGAGTTCATTTGAAACAGTACGGAGAAAACAGTCCTGATCCGGTCCTGGTACAATGTGTTCACATCAACTCAGACAACCTCCACAGGGTGGAAAGAACCATAGTTTAACTTAAATGAAGTTCATCTTAAGTGGTATGAAAACACCCTTGAATTTAGAATCACAAGCACACAAATTAAGGTCAGGTTCATTGAAAACCTTTTACTTTTAGCACTAATAGACAGCTCTGAAGGAGATGCTAATTTTTACATTATAAATTATTGTTTGCCAGACTAGGTATTCTCACAGTTTTTACAAATCAATTTCATTTTGTTATTTATTTTGTCACGATAACAAAATCTGATTGTTTAAGCGCTGTGGCTTGAAATTCGTTTACATCCAAAATGGAAGTGGTAAGAGGTATAATATGAATGATAGTCACAACATGTAGATAATAGTTATAAAATGAAGCAAATTGCCCCACAGTCTATGGATAACAAAATTAATAAACAAAACCAAGAATATGACACAAACTGACCAAAAGTACAAAGCCCCATAGGGGCTTTTTCTTTTGCATTACCTTTCAAAACTGTACTGATCAGATAGACAGCATAATTGAATACTGTAAGCCTTTCTTACAGTGGCCGCCATACTTTCTGCTTTAATACAAGGTTATGTAAGGCTTTTCCATCAATGTTAATATCTCTGTGAAATATCTGAAGTTTGACATTTTTTCCTGTAGGACAGAAAGGCACCAAAAACCCATGATATAAACAGAAACGTTCCGTAAGTAGGAAATAAATCCTAATTTGGATTATTTCTGAGCTATTATAGCGGGATAATAAATCATCTGACAGATTTAATTGTGTCTCTGTTGTGTTTGTAGTCTGAATGGTTTAAAAGGCAGTTTTCATGTGAAGCTCAGGGTTAAAGTCAGGGAATCTCATCTGTTTGTGTATCAATCAACACCAAACCATTTCTTTGTTGTGTAACAATTATCAATTTATTCCATTTTGATTATCATGCTCTAAACTTTGCAAGGAGTGACCTCCCCTCACCGCTTCCTCACACATACAAAGCCAGCAGGATAGTGATCTTCACATTCATACTTCAGGAGGTCACACCCACATCGACACACACCACCCATGTCAAAGCTGTGTGCTGCTGTCATATCAATAATCACTTATTTCATTCATATGGCTCTTATGGAGCATCAGTGAAAATGTGTTTATTATTATTAACTCTTTGATACAATAAAACTCATTGAAAATCCATTTATCCACTGCATGTTTATGTCTGTTAAGGCTATGATGGAATGACACTGAAAGCAGCTCTTTTACAGAATTAAAAAATTACATTAAAAATATTGGTTTTCTATACTGACTCAGTTCTCAGTCAAAGTATGAATCTTGTACTTAGCTAAAACTAGCTTGCAGCAACTACTTAGCAGCTAAAAGGTTAATGTTAGCTTAAGGGAACAAACTTGATCTGTAGTGCAAAGTAAAGTCAATAACACACCAATGACATTAATGAAATTAATATCACTGAACCATGTAACTTTACCATCTTAACATTTCTTATTTCATGCTGGAGAAGAAGCTCGGTGACATCTCATTAGATCATTCAAAATGGTGAAGAATGATGCTGCTTGCTCTGCTCTCTTCACCAACACAAACAGTGGGTTTTTGGGGTGTTTGCCTGATGTTTGATAAAAAAAAAAAAAAAAAAAAACTACCGTACCCGAGAACCCAGTAATTCTTGACCACAGTGAAATATTTTCATTTTATATCTGGAGGCGTAGCTTAGCTATTATAGAACATGTTTTCAGTATGCCCTAAACACAGGAAAGGATGGGCTGTGAATATGATGGGGAAGGCAAACTCACTTTTAGTTTTGCTACATTTTTATTTTTGGCCAAACTCATATTAATCCTAAAACGTTTATTATACTGTATACTAACCCTACATTTTAACTTTAAAATTCAGCTTAGCAATGACGTTAGCAACAAAGGACCTATATGACGCAGCATTATGTCGAAGGACAGCATGAGTTAATTTGAATTTTCTGCATGTAGACTATGTGATGTTTCAGCACAAGTGTTCCTTGGCTGGATTTTGATTTGCTCCACAACACATGCCACTGTCTTTTGGTTACATTGTGAAATGATTTCCCATTACTTGAAACAAGCACTGTTAACAAGCCAGCGCCTAAGACATGAGCCAACTTCTCAAGAACCTAGGAGATGCTAACAGTTATAATTTAATGTTTTTTTTTTCTTTTCTGTTCCTTGTGCACTTTGCAGTGTTTTTGAAAGGAGAGGAACAAGCAATATAAATTTTTTCAGCGGTTAATATACAATTCCACAGAGTTTTAAGATAGTTTTAGAAACTATCTGCTACAACTTCAGGGCAGCTCTGTGACGCCAACTTTGACAGATTTTATTTTAGATTTGAATACCCAACATAAGCTACAGAGCTTGTTTTTTTTTTGTGAATGAATGCAATGCCAATAACTTCTGTAAATACTATAAATTCCTTTTTCTAACCTTATTTCAAGCTGTTGGTTTAAATATGTTGTATATTCCATCATCTCATCTTTGTGTAGAGCAAAGTATTCAAACTCACTTTGAAAATACATTGCAAACTCTTTCATCAGTTGCGTCAAGAGACTCGCTGATTTCCACTGGTTGCAATTGGACACACACTCCAGTCAGTGTCCCTTTTTCCATGGACTCTGAACAATTTGGTGCTTTGAAAACAACTTTACATTTTCTAGCAAATAAATAGAAAAGATACAATTCTTGGACTCTGTTTTCAACTGTGTTTGAACTCTTTCTGAACAGTTTCTGTATATTGAATGATCTTTATTCTTTCATCAGCTGACTGTCCCCAAATCATTCATAAATGAAAAATACTAAAAATAAATATTGAAATAAGGGATAATTACTAAACTATTTAGCTTTAATGTCTATTGACATGCCAACTTAGATGCACCTTGTTTCCAAGAATGTATAGATAAATTTATTATGTTCTATTCTTAAGAATGAGCTTGTCAGCTAGAGCTCTATAGTTACAGAGCTCTTAGGGCAATGGTCCCCAAACCCCGAGCATGGACTGGAACATTGTGTTAATCCATTTATAGTCTGAACAGAGGAGCCGGCATTTTATCTTGAGGAAATAAATAAAGGTGCAGAAGTTAATTAGACTGTAACATGTGCAGTGCACTGCAAAACACCGTTTAATTCTTCGTGAAGAATTAAACTTAACTCATTCTGTTGTTTTCACAAAAGGTTGCCATTTCAGACATCGGCACACTCATGAAAGGAGACCTCCTTTAAATGCAACCTGGGTTCAGCTGCTTTAAAAGGTCGGTCAGTTGGTCTGTGGCCATGGTCAGGTAGTCCACACCTAAATGCACAGCAGCAACTCTTACTCTGGACCGACTGTCAGCCACCAGATCATTTTTGCTGGCCACATGTGAATGTCAATGGTGAACTCAAAAATGACAGACAAATACCATTGCAGCCGTGCTGACCATGGTTCAGAAACTTTTGCCATAGCAAAAGTGAGAAGCTTGAGATCAACAAAAGCAGTAAAGTCCCAGCCCTCCAACATGAAGTGGTAACGTTGTGTTGCCAGAAAAAGGGCAAGCAGTTCCCTGTCAAAGGTGCTATAGTTTTTTTTGGCATCCCACAGTTTCCTGCTAAAAAAAGCTCACAAACTGCCCCAACTGCACAATCAGAAGCATCAGTTAGAGCGAAGGAGCCACTGGAGATGGATGGACCAAAAGCAGAGTATTAGCCAAGGCCTTTTTGGCATCTTTGAATGTCTGCACCCTCTCTGGAGTCCACTCTATCTGTTGGTCCCATTTTTTTGCCTTCAAGGGCTTCATACAACGGGTGCATTAGATGAGCTGCCTGTGGGATTCACAGCTTGAATTTAAGCCTAGGCTTCATTTCCAAAGCGCTTATGTTTTATAAACAATTATAATAAGACATTTTAAAAGAGCAGAAGAAATCCTATGTTTTTTCAACAATAACAATATTTGTTGTTAAGCTGCTGCTAAGAGACGAGTGTGTTTTCTGGTAACAAAGTGAAACTAAGTAAACATCTGCTTTTAACTTTAATAAAATTCACCTACTGTAAATTTCTTGTGTCTAAGTAGATAAGTAGGATTTCAATATGTAGAGACTCACACAGAGAAATACAGCAGTTAGACAGTTTTATCGGCCCGAAAGTTTTGGCGCTCGAACACCGGCAGAAGATGGACATGCTGAGAATCTTGGCGAGCTTAGACGATCGGCTCAGTGTCCACCACCAGTGTCCCCCAGGGTGGACACTGGTGGTGGAGCGAAGCCTGAAGAGGAATGAGTCTGAAAGATGTCCAGGAGGATGAGGGTGGGGACGGGGACAAGGACTAGGTGGGTCGAAGCACAGCTGAAGCTGGTGGATATGTGGTTGTTTGGACTTTTGAAGGAGCTCTTGCATGGTGATTGGCTGGAGCAGAGTGGCAATTTGGTGCTGATTGGCAGAGGATTGGTAATTGAATTTATGCTTAGGCTTCATTTCCAAAGCACTTACGTTTTATAAACAATTATAATAAGACATTTTAAAAGAGCGGAAGAAATCCTATGTTTTTTCAACAATAATATTTGTTGTTAAGTTGTTGCTAAAAGATGAGCGTGTTTTCCAGGTAAAGAAATTAAATTAAGTAAACGTCTGCTTTTAACTTTTGTAAAATTTACCAACTATAAATTTCTTATGTCTTTGCAAATAGTAGTATTTCAAAAGCGCTTATGATGTTTATATGTTTTGAACAATAACAGTTTGCTATTAAGCTTTTGCTAAGACATGAGTGTGTTTTCTGCAAATGAAGTGAAAGAATAATCTTTATTTTCATTATGGATCCATGCAATAAGTTACATGGGTGATTCTCACAAGCATGGACCAACTCCTGGCAAAAATAACAAAAAAAATATTATATACACACAAAACACTAATTCTTTATCAAATAGATCATAATTTTACTTTTCACTGTAAAATTATAATCTCTATGCACATTTTCTAGGTATTTTAAAAAAAATTTATTATAACTTGGAGCAAATAAATTCATGATTATAATACAATTTCTATGAAGAAATTTGAAACCACAAAACCTTTTTTTTAAAAAAGGATTTTTTGGACACCAAGGACTTCAGTGTGCACATAGAGACAGACATAAACAAAAATAGGCATTTCAAATTAAATGTTTAATTTTAATGCAAAAAATTATTTCAAGAAAGTCAATTTTTATTGTGATTTTATATCAAATCATTACATTGAAAAAACAATATAATCATAGTATGAAGGGTATAAAGAGTCCGGTTAGATTATACATTATCACACTTTGTTAAATTATGTATATTTTTAAACAAATTTATGATCATTTTTATAAACCTGCTTGATTATTTATAATGATAAATGCAAAAGCATTGTTTCCCCCCTTTTAATGCATTACGGTAATGAATTTGTGACTCTGTGTAAAATAGTGTGGTCAGGGGTCCTCAAGGTGAACAAAGAAACAGGATCAGTCACTAGTTTCAGATTCTTCTAATGACTTTAATTTGTTATATTTGCCCCAAATATTCCTCCCCAGCTTCCAAGAACTCACTGATTTTATAGCCAATTAGCATCACACCTTCACTTGAATGGACCAAGCCACCTTTAACAGATAAAAAAAAGTTTAAAAAAAATCTAAACAAAAAAACAAGAATAGAATTATCTAATTTACAAACTCATCTACATAATGAAATGGTCTGAAAAATAAGCCATGTAACTCAAAAGTTACTTCAAAGATAAACAAACAAAGCAATACTCCAAAGAAAACCCTCTAATTGATAGAACCCAGCAAGGCAATTAATGACATCATCAAGCCATCTAAGCAGGAAATACTGGGCCGACCCCTCCAATACTCCTGCCCCACTGCACTGTAAAAAAGGAACCTCAGGGGTTATCACATTAACAAAAGAATATCATGTACTGTTAACTAAATAATTGCATGTTGAGCCAAAAACATGATACAATCATGTTGCATAAACAAGATATTCCACAACTTCAACGTTTATAAAATTGAATCATGTTGAGCGAACATGATTCATTATAGTCAGACCGATCCTATGCTGAAGACCACGAGTGAGATCACGCGATATCACGCAAGTTCACGCAAGATTACGGGAAATCACGGGATATCACGCGAGAATACGCGAGACAATCGGTTTTTTCTCGCAAATGGAATAAAATGTATTCAAGGTGAGATAACGTGATTCAATTACGTCAGCTAGATCTTCCGCCAAAAAAAAAAAGAACGTCGGGGCGTATTACATTAACAAAAAATATCATGTACCTTTCACACAATAATGTTGGGTTTGAAGCGAAAAACGTGATAAAATCATGTTGGATAAACAAGATATTCCACGACTTCACATTTATAAAATTGAATCATGTTGAGCTAACATGATTCATTATAGTTAGACTGATATTGTCATGACGACAACGAGTGAGATCATGGGATATCACGCGAGAACGCGAGACAATCGGTTTTTTCTCTCAACTGAACTAACGTGATTGAATGACGTTATCTCAACTTGAATACATCTAATTCCTCAAGCTCCCAGGCCTCTACCAGAGGCCTGGGAGCTTGAGGGTCCTGCGCAGTATCTTGGCTGTGCCAAGATATATATATATATATATATATATATATATATATATATATATATATATATATATATATATATATATATATATATATATATATATAATAATATATATATATATATATATATATATATATATATATATATTTTTTTTTTTTAAACATATATATATATATATGTTTTTTTTATTTTATTTTATTCAATATCAATATTTGTCAAAGTTAATCTAATAAAAAAAAAACACAGTGACGTCAGTTCCAAAGCGCTATTGTGTCAGACTCATCTCCCGCTGAAGAGGATCCAGCGACATCAAGAGATTACGGAAAATCACGCGAGATAACTGGCTCGCACCTTGTTGGGTTTTTTCAAGGGCAGAGGGGAGATTCCTGGCGTGCATCTACTTAATTTGAAGAAGGTAAGAGTCAAACTATTTTCATCTAATCCATATAAAAATATGTAACTTAAAATTTCTCTACCATTTGCACCATTTTCTACTTGTTCCATACTTGTGTCACATTATTTCATGTTCTGTAGATTAAGTCGGTTAGGTTAAGGCAGATAGCTTTTTGTTTACATTTATCGCCGCACCATGTTAGGTACATTCTGTGCGAAAAAACTCTGCAGAGCCATATGTAGTGTAAGGGTCACAAAGCTGCTGCCAGAGACACAAATGGACCCCGGAAATGTCACAGTTTTGCTCCTCCTGAGCTCCCTGGAGGTTTAGTGGATTTTTAACACACAGATCTAACATCAGTCTATTTTTAACTATTTTAATTCTATTTCAGTAATGTTACTATGGAGGTAAATGTAGATACACACACACACACACTTTGGTACCTTTCTATCATCATCGAGATTCTTAATTAATTATGGTAATAAAAAGTCCTACATTTCAGTCGGTGAAACCTGCAGAAAGCATTGCTTTCTGAGCTTTGTTAAATGTTCCTAAAATACCTGTTAGTTATGGATTTCTAGTATATTTTGTCAGGCTAAAACTCTCAATGGATTATCCATTATTACAGACTTGAGCTTTCTATTTTTTTTCTTTAAAATACATATTCCTCTGCTGTAAAGATGTTGGGGTTTTTTGGACTCTTCTTTGTTGTCCCCAAAT